TTTGCAGCACCTTTCCAACCTAGTTGTCATTCCCAGCCTGGCGCATGAAAATCACTACTTTCTTGGCCCAATCGGCAATCCAGACCCCACCGAGTTTATTATTGGTGAAACCAATAGGATCCCCTTCAGATTAACCAACCCAGATCTAGGTCACTGGAAGAATACCTTCAAATCCTGGCCATCCCTAGAGAAAGTTCCACCAGAAAAGAGCTGGACCACATGGTTCAAACGTGTATCAGCCAGCAAGAGGGTTCACTGGGATGAAATTGGAATCGGCCAAGCACTTGACCTTACTATAGCGAATTCGGCCAAAGATGAACCCCTGATGGCAACTGCTTCTTACTTTTGGTCAAACACTACCAATGCCTTTCTGTTCAATCAAGGGCTGATGACTCTAACTCTCATAGATATCATTATGATCACAGGTCTGGATGTTACCTCATCTGGCAGCATACATGGGCCAGGGCTCGGTCACCCCTCGAGAACATGTGGCTTTCCTATTAATGTGGCTAGAAAAATTTCTTTTTTGTGGATCAAGTTGTGGCCCCACAACCAACTGGCAATTTCTGGCTGAAGCTCTAGAAACAAAGAGACAATTCCCCTTGGGCAAAATTCTCCTCGGCTATCTATACCAGATGCTGAGCAATGCATCAGCTAAGATAGCAGTCGGCTCAGTAGTTGGAGCAGGTGGACATTGGTGGCTACTGCAAACCTGGTTAAACCTGATAGTCATGAAGGTTGTCAATTGGCCATCCGTATCAGAAACTGAATTCCCAAGACTAGAGCCGATTGTAGATGATGATGGAGAAGAGCGTACTCATCGGAGATGCACATCCTATGGAGAATACGCTTCTACACCAACTGATGCCGGAGCAAAACTATCGGCTGAACTGCTCAAGGATTGGTTTTGTAGCTTCTATGAATGCTTTCAGAAAGATGCTAGAATCTGGTTCCTTTATGAAGACTCTGCACAACTTGAGCACCCAGTGGACTTCAGATTCGAAGACATCAACCATGAAGTATACCAATCATCCAGGGAAATCTTCTCGGCTGCAATCAGCCCATGTGTCCTCCCTGTTGGCATTCATCAAGGAAGAAACATCCAAGCTTCTTATAAATTCTATCATCCAATGAGCTCAACTAGATAACTCGGAATGGGCCAACTCCCAATCGGCTTGTTCTTTGCCGACAAGATCCAATGCCGAGGAGGAATTTCATGAACCCTGATGATGGATCGGCTGCTTAGCCTTCAAGGACCCCCTCTGGGCAGTATTGGCAACATAGAACTGGCAACATTCAGAAGCAAAAGCTTCGATAGGTGGTGGGGTGAATGGAAACTGCATTTACTTCACTAACCAGCTTTGATGTATATGACAGACCTCTTTCCAGATGTTGTCCCTCAAGTAAGCCTCCAACTTCGCTCAATTTTAGTTAAATAATTGTTTGGCCGATTAATCTTAACCAATCATCCTTTTGGTTTGCAGACAACAGAATCTTCCCCTCCTCACCAAAGCAACAGCGGCAAAGACATCCAGTATGCCCCAGGTTTGATTCCTAACGGAGGTGGGCTATCTCCTCCAGTTATCGGCTATGATGCCCCCAAGACCTCAGCTCTTCTTCAAGGGCTCGTTAGAGAACCAGCCGATGCCGGCAAAAAGAGGAAAACCAGATCGTCGGCTGTAAGCATCATAGCCCCAATTAAGGAGAAGAAGACAAAGAAAACCAAGCCAGCTGATGATCTGCCTACCCTGGATCCATCCATCGAACAAGCTCTGGATGAAGAGGCCATTGGAGACGAGGTTGATCAGGCCGCAGCCGAGGTAAGTGACACTGAAAGAACACCATCGGCTTCGCCTAAACAAACCTCTCCAACTCCTTCTGCTCCAGTTCATTTCTCAAGGGTAAGTGTTTCTCGTTAATCTCTTTCGTGATTATTTTGTCTTATAGCCGATCATTCCCAAGTCTTATAATTGCAGAAAAAGAAGACTGCAGTGAAGAAGAAATCGGCTGCAACAACATCTAAACCAGCTTCACCAGTAAGATAGTTTTAACTTTCATTAGTTAATTTTTTAGCCGATTCTATCTTACACTTGCTTCCTTTCAGCCTTCACCTCCTCCTTCTCCTCCTGTTCAACAATCATCAAGTGATCAGACCTCTTCAGCTACGGGAAGTTATCACATCGAGGAAGAAGAACAACCAGCTGCTCCTACTATCCCAGTACATTTCTTTTATCATAACAAGCATTCAGATCGGCTACACTTGTTTAACCTCTAACTGCTTCTAAATTGTCCCTACATGTCACGCCCGGATTTTTGTTTCAGGATTTATAAATTATTTAATAAATTATTAATAGAATTTATATTAAATGTTCATTAATTTACAAGTGAAGTTAAATGTGGGAAATAAAATTTCCTAAATATAAAGCATGGATGGATTTAAATTTTATTAAATTCTCCATGGTTAATTATACTCTCTGGAATTTTCTCGGATTTTTCGGAGCTCAATTCCTAATTTTAATCATACAAAGAGCATTTCAGTAATTACCCACATATTAAATTAATCATTAAATGGTCTAATTATAATTTTGTTAAGTACTTTGAGTGTCCAAGTATGTTCAAGATTTTTCTTGGAATTATTTGAGCATTGGAAGTATTTTTAACAATTCAAAGATCATTTCATTGATTAATTTAATTGGGAAAGTAATAAAATCCTTCTCCTCAGCTTGGGCCATTTTCAGCCCATTCCTTCCTTTCCTTCCTCTCTCTTCCGCCGGCCCAACCTGAGCCGCCTCCTCTCCTCTCAGCTCAGCCGGAAAAGTCTACTTTACCTCCCTAGCACTGTTCATCTTCTACCTCTAGCAGCCGAACTGAGACCGAGTGGGCTCGGTTTTTCCCCTCCAAATCCGACCTTTTCTCTTGTGTTTTCCTAAAATTAGTTGAGGGGAAATATTCCTCTTATCCTCATCTATCTTTACCCCCAAAAATCGGAGTAAATCGTTGAGTATTTTATCCGAATCGAACTCGTTTTTGAGTTTATCTCCAAAACCGAGTTTTTGATTTCCCGGATCGATTTCTTGCGGGAGGAGTCCGATCTCTTCAATCCAAGGCTATAAATAGGACCCCCTAGTCCTCCTCTTTCGTTTGCCCCCTCTCCCGTGGTCTCCCGTGCCTCGTAGCGCTGCCGCCACGTGCTCCACCCCGCCGTCGTCGCCGGCCGAGCTCCATCCGCGTCGCGCCGCCGCCTCCGTCGTCGCCGCCGGTCGCCGTCACCGCCGTAAGGTGCGCCGAGGTGTGGGCTAGCCCGGCCGCCCCTTCCCCGTCGTCGCCGGCCACCGGAGCCCCTCCGCCGCCGGTCAACCGAGCCGCCGCCGTCGCCCCTCTCGTCGCCGGCCGTCGTCGGTCGTCGTTCGGCACTTCGGTGAGCACCATCGGGTTCGTCTCGTCGTTCTCTACGTGTAGGTGTCCTCCAAATCCGCAGCCGGTCGCCCTAGCTCCGGCGAGGTCGCCATCCGAGCCGGCCGCCTTTGATGATGTCATCATGACATCATCGGTTTTTCTTTTTCCCGTTTTTCTAATAGATTAAATCTTCGGAAATTCATAACTAAATCATCGTAACTCGGTTTTGAGTGGTTCAAGTTGCTAAATTCATCTAAAATCATGATCTACATGTTTGTTTACTTTATATGTATTGTTTATTTGGTTTTTATTAGTCTTTTTCTTCGTTTTGCGTGTTAGCTTGTCGTTTCCGTCGTTGCGAAGGTTCGTGAGTGCGTCAGGAGTGTTCAGAAGATTAATTGAAGACCGATTATTGCAAGGCAAGTCACACAGATCCTAAACACAATCCTTTGAGCATGTTGATCCTATATTTAAATTCTCTATTTATTTCAACTGTGCATTTATTTTCGAATGTCACCGGGTGGTGTGAACTTATTCCTTTGTTATGGCCAATTTGCATTGATTACTTTATTCCTTGATACCTTGGGTTATTATAACTTGACTAGTTAGGCTTTATATATTGGTTCAGCTAGATATTAGTTATGATTGCTTAGCCATGCTTAGAAACATTAGCACACTATTGGGATAACTTATGACTCACTATTATTTAAGGATGGCTTAATGATAGTTCACGATGGTTAATCGTGATTGGTTAATTAATTACTTGCCAACTAAAACTTGATAATGGTGGGTTGTGAGCACATGGTTTTGAGAGTCGTGCTCATGACAATTAAGGACCGGTTCGCGAGCTACTGTTGTGAGACATTTACCGTGCCAACCACAAGCCAGCGTGGGCAACGGCTTTATCTTTTGTATAGCGTGATTCATTATAGTGCGCCAGACTGAGAAGTAGCGAGAAGTCCACGGGGGTCGCTGGGGAGTCCATGCCTTGTTTATAAGGGGGTGATTATGATCCAGGAAAGGTGCGCTGTAATGGGTTATGTTGTGCAAGGGGTATTGTCACAACTCCTTTCCGAGGTACCGTGGTGGTATTGAGGCACATGGCGACATGATGTGGGGTTGTGTCTTGTGGGTACAGTGGTACACCTCTGGCCAGAGTAAAACTATTCGAATAGCCGTGCCCGCGGTTATGGGCGGGTTGAGCAATGTTTTTCGTGATTAGTCTCACACCTCTCACAATAATTATGGATGTTATAACTGGTAATAATTTGCTTAGCTCCTGGTTTGGAGTTAGATCTGTACAGCCGGGTATGGTTGTTCAGGATGGTTAGGCCTGTGCAGCATGGGTGTGCTGTTCAGTGTTGATTAAAATTGATGATTAATTACTCTACTATTTTAATTATCTTAAATGTTTTGCTAAATGCTGCTTTTTGCAAATGGGCCTATATTATGCCATCCTTTGGTATCCTTGTGCACTTGCATATTTGCTGTGTGGCTTGTTGAGTATGTCATATGCTCATTCTTGCAATAATCAATCAACCTCAGTTGAAGAAAAAGGATCCAGAAGGAGAAGACGTTTGGCTTATACCCCAGTTGAGCTGCCTGTGGGAGTGGAGCCGGAGCTTCGCTAGACCGTAATTCCGCTGCTGTTTTCTTTTCTTTTGTAAGTGTGTAACGTTATTATTATGATGGATTTGTATATTAAATTGTCAGTTTGTGTACCTCGGCTGATTCCTGGACGAGGATTTTATGCACAAATAAGTTCGGAAATTACTAGTGAATTTCCGGGCGTGACACTGCAGGTCTTAGCTGATCTTTTCTCTTTCGATATCAGAGACTATCTTGATGAAGGAGAAGAAGATACTACAAGCAAAGCATTGGCTCCTTTATCTGATGATGTGAAGAAAACTCTAGGAAGTATTTTGGATCGGCTAGAGGCATCATCACTAGATAGTTTGGTAGTTGACTGTGGCTCAATCAGGGCTCGGCTGCATGAGATTCAAGCCTTAATTCCAGATGAATTAGCCGATATCCTTACTCCAGCTGTTTACCTTGAGCAACACCAATTCAAACTGGAGAAAGCCAAGTTAAGACTAGCCGAACGGCGAGAACGTAAGGACATTGAAGCCACTATCCAAGCCAACCGACAACTTGTGCATGAAGAGAAGTCCAAGCTTGATCAATTATCTGAAGGCCCAATCAAATCTAACATTGATCGGCTTGAGGCTCCCAAAATTGAACTCTTAGCACAACTTGAAGAATGTAATGCTGAGCTAGATATGGAACACAAGAAACTGGCCGATCTCCCAAAATCTATTGAAGAACAAAAAACAAGACTCAAATCGGCTATTAAGCATGTTGCTGAACTGACCAAGTCCCTGAAAGTTATCCCTGGAACCGATGCTCACGATGCCCAAGCCATAGAAGAAGTAGAGCAGATTAGGCAGAAAGCTATATCGGTTATACAGCGATACTTATCACTGTAATCTTAGTGCAATAGGACTTAGAATTCTTGTAATCGGCTAAAACATTCTGACTCTTCCAAATCATCGGCCGACATAAAACCTTAGAATTTCCTTTGAAATTTGCACAGAAAATTTTATGAATCTGAAATGAATCTGAAAATTTTATGAATCTGATATATATATGCCCCCCTAGTTTTATAATGGCGAGAGCATTGATAAAATTATGCACCAACTAAGGGCGATATAACAATATCGGCCATTGTACATCGGCAAACCACAACCGATGACATTATAAAAACAACTAAGGGCGATATAACAATATCAGCTATCTCAAGGCGATGTAAACACATCGGCTGTCGTGTATCGGCAATAGTAGCCAATCATGCGTGAACCCACACACTTGGGTAATATTTCTTCAAGTATTTACCATTAAGCGCTCGCCCATAGACTTCCCCGTCAAGCCCTTGCAACATATATGCTCCCTTAGAAACAACCTTATGAATTAGGAACGGTCCTTCCCAATTCGGCGACCATTTGCCGAATTTACTATCACGAGTACCAATCGGCAAAATCAGCTTCCATACAAGTTCTCCCTCCAAAAATCTTTAGACACAACTTTCTTATTACAATGCCGAGCAACACGTTCCTTATCTTTAGTAACCTTCGCAAGGGCTCGCAATCGTGACTGAACCAAATCTTCCCTCTCATCAGCCATAAGATTGTAATACTCATCACGATGTTCTACAATAAAATCGGCTATAGCCTGTCCCTTAATCGCTTTCGGTGATTCATACCGAAGATCAAACTCAGTCAAGGAAAATATCCACTTCCCAACTCGTCCCTTTAATATTGGAGCCGACAGCATATACTTGACTACATCGGCTTTGCATATAACAGTGCACTTGTTAGATAACAGATAATGCCTCAACCTCGTACACGAAAAATACAGGCACAAGCATAACTTCTCCACAGGAGAATACCGAGTCTCAGCATCCAAGAGCCGTCGACTGAGATAAAACACAACTCGCTCCTTCCCTTCCAATTCTTGAATCAGAACCGAGCCGATTGACTTCTCACCAGCCGATAAATATAACCTAAACGGTATCCCTTTCTGTGGAGGAATCAAAACAGGAGGAGAGCTGAGATACTCCTTGATATTATCCAAAGCCTTTTGCTGCTCTGCCCCCCAAGTGAATTGCTGATTGGCTTTTAATTTCAATAAGGGTGTAAAAGGTTCCAACCTCCTGGACAAATTTGAAATAAACCTTCTAACAAAATTTATCTTGCCGATCATCTCTTGTAGCTCTGTCTTATTTTCTGGGGGCTGAATTTTCTTGATCGCATTAACGCTCCTTTGAGTCACCTCAATCCCCCTCTCATGAACAAGAAATCCCAAACGATCATCTCTTGTAGCTCTGTCGAAGGGATGCAACAATTGGCATGAATCTAATCCCTTCCAAGCAATAAGCTGTACGAACCCTTTCCACCGATGACAAAAAAAGGTGGTAGGAATAGTCTTGCTGCCGACTGTCAACTCCACATTTAGAACACCTTTGGTCTCCGATGGATTACCACCAAAGTCTTTGAGCACCATATTTGTCTTGATGAGATCCTCGGCGTTCCTACCCAGCTTCCTGAACGTAGCATAAGGCATCAAATTCACCGCGGCCCCACCATCGACCATCATCTTAGACATCGGCTTCCCATTGACGTAGCCGTTTATATATAATGGTTTAAGATGCCGATTTTCTGTCCCCTCAGGTTTCTCGAATACTGCTTGTTCTGGCAACAGGACCAACTTAGCCGACTCCTCTTCCACTTCGTCAACATCGGCCTGGTCAATCCCGAATTCAGCTGGCAATGTAAAGACCATGTTAATCGGTGCCGCTATAACACTCTTTCCTTTTCCCAACCTCTTCACCTCATCAGCTGCAGCATCATCGGCTACGGGAACCTAATTCTTGACACGCCACTCCTGTCATGGCTTTGGTTTCCTCAGCCGATGGTTGATTTCCTTCTCAACCTCCTGAAAACGCTCCCTGCTCCTCAATCTCTGGACCCTCCTCTTCTGATTCTTCGTGAAAATATCAGAAGGACACCATTGATTCTTCCTGATCGCTTCTTCCTCTTGGCCACAATCCTGATTCATCGGACCCAATCTCTGATGAACAGGGAGTCTTGCCTGTTTCAGCCGATTATCCCTATTATATGATCGGCTCGAGCCCTCGATGATATCACTGCATCCAGGGCAATTTTCAATAGATGGCAACCTCATCCTTTCGTTCCAGCAGAATCTGAAGAATTCACAACCCCGATGAGGATCAAAACCATCGTCGTATTCTTCGTAATGCCTTTCCTGCTGCTTATCATATTTCCTCTGATACTTGTTGATAATCTTAGCCGAATTTACTCGAAAACCCTTTGCATGGGCTCTATTGGCTGCTTGACCAGCTGTATGCACCATATTCACGGGAAAAGGATTCCCATCGACCTTCATCGGCTTCTTGGAATCATCAAACCTAATCTTTCCCCCTTCAATGGCAACCTGGATTTGCTGTCTAAAGACCTTACAATCATTAGTAGAATGGGAACCAGAATTGTGCCATTTGCAATATCTTCTCTTGCCTAATTCCTCAGCCGATGGGATCGTATGACCAGCAGGAAGCTGAATCTGCTTTTCTCGGAGTAGCAAATCAAAAATCTTGTCAGCTTTGGTGATATCAAAGTCATACTTCTCCTCTTTCCCATGACTTTTCCCCCATTGGCATGGTATAACTTTCTTACTCCTCACCCATTCGGCTGCAGCTATCTCAGAATCATCTTCTTCGTCATCCGACCAATACATATATGGACAAACGTGATTAACTTTCTTAGAGCTTTTCCTGACTTCCGCCGACCTATGCTCGTGCAAGGTTACCTTCTGTATTAGATGCGATAAGCTATCGAAGTCTTCGGATGAGAATTTCTCCCTGATTGGAGGAATCATACCCTGGAAGGCCAAATCGGCTAACTGAGCATCAGTTAAACTCAAGCTAAAGTACTTGTTCCTCATCTCTCTGAACCTCTGAATATACTCGTGCACGGTTTCATCATGCCGCTGCTTGATCACTGTCAAGTCGGACAACTTCATCTCATGGACCCCACTGTAGAAATAGCTGTGGAATTGCTTCTCCAAATTGGCCCAACTATTGATCGACCCATATGGCAAAGAGGAAAACCAAGTAAAAGCTGATCCGGACAGAAATAACCGGAACAACCTAACTCTCAAGGCGTCTACAGCCGATGCTTCACCGCACTGAGCAAGAAATCGGCTGATGTGCTCATAAGTCGACACGCCCTCTTGTCCCGAAAACTTGGAGAAATCTGGAACTTTAAACCGATTGGGAAGAGGAACTCTTTCAAACCACTCAGGGTAAGGCTGCCGATACAAACTTCTAGTTTCTTTTGGTTTAAGCCCAAATTGCTCCCTCATTACATCGGCAATCACATCGGCCCACGGTCGTTGCTGAGCTGCTCCTTGTGGTTGTTGCTGCATGGGCTCGAATTGACCAAACTGAGATGCAAACTGGGGCTGAGCCAATCCCCCTGGCCGATATTGGGCTTGCGGGGAAGGAGGCTGATATTGATAGCTCAAGTTTCCCCCTTGGTAGTTATGAAGATTCGGCTGGGTATTGCGTACCAAGTGCTCAGGAACCATCTGAGGCACCATCGTGCCATCCGGTTGTGCATGGTGAACCAAATGCTCTGAGACGACTTGGTTTACAAATTGCTGTGCAGGTTGCCCACCAGGTGCTGTGAACCCAGCCGATGCATTTGCTGACCCCGGGTGCTGAATCGGCTGGACGATCTACTGTCGTACCGGAGTCTGTTGGATCGGCTGAAGCCGCTGCCTTGATGGCGTTTGCTGAATCGGTTGCAGAGGCTGCTGTCTTGATGGTGTTTGCTGAGCTGGTTGTACGACCTGTTGTTGGATCGGCTGTACAACTGGCTGGATTGGTGGTGTCTGCTGAATCGGCTACTGCTGCACTGGATCAACAATAAGTGGAGGTGGCAAAAACATGGCAGCAACTTGATCTTGGGTCGGCTGATTCGTGATCTGCCCAGTAGACTGTGGATGTTCCCTCATTAACAACCGAGGGTTCATCGGCTGGCCTGACGCCATAGCTGATGTAGCAAGTAGGGGAGTTGACGCTGGCGCCGTTGACTGAATTGTGGGTGCAATAGAGGGAATCACTTGGACAGATGGTTGAACATCAGTGATCAAAGATCGATAATTCGGGAAGACACCTCCTTGCAAATAAACTGGGCCTGTAGCCTGATGCTCGGCTATCGAACCATCGGCTATTTTCTTCATCATGTTTGACAATGTATTTACTAAAACCCCGGACTGATTGATCAGAGCATGATGCACAGCGTAATCAACCCGATCTTGGAAGTTGTTGAAAAAGTCCTGTGATAGCTCATTATTCTGATTAAGATTTCCTCCTTGCGGCCCTTGAGCACCATTACCTTGAGCCCCATACGCTCCATCACCTTGTACTCCATGGACTCCTTGAGGGTTGTCGCCTTGATTTCCCAGAGAATCACCAGTATCACCTTTGTTGCTTGGCTGAGCCGAGCCTCCTGGAGCTTGTTTCACCTCTCCATCTTTAGAAGAACCGGTTCCAGGACTATCAGCAACCACTTTTATCTTATACTTCTGAACAAACGTTCCCTTGCGAGTCTGCATGAATGAATTCAGGAACTGGTCACGTGCTTGCTGCATCGTTGCTTCAAACTCCTGCTTTTGCTCAGGCGTGAATTTCTCTGGATCGATCGGCATGACGTTGTCATCAATGATGTCGGTCAATCCCGGCTTCGGCGCCTTGCCTTTAACGAAACCTGGGCTTGATGGTGGCGGTGGCTGTTTCTCGGCCATCAGGAGGGACTGACGTCTGACTTCTAATCAGGTCCCACCAGGCGTGCCAAAAGCGTGTTGACAGAAAACACATGGCCTGGGAGATCCGCTTAACTCCAGTGCAGGTCCAAAACTCGCCTTCGGATGTGTTAGCGTGCCAGTTGATTTGATCCTGTAATCAACAAGAAATAGAAGCAAAGAAATCGTAGTTAAATTTATAAATGATAGGCGATCGGCTAGATGCCGATGACATATCATTTATCTTTGAGCCG